ACAAACGAGTCAAAGCCTCAGGGCCCCAGCTCTCCAAAATCAGTTTTAGACCCCCTTCATTATCTTGTAATCAAGCTGTCTCAAATCACAGATTATCCTCTTTACAGGAAGCAAAGTATAATAGGCCAAAGCAAAGACAGCGTCACGATAACGAGCGTACAACAGCCGAGAGGAGCGTCTCTGTCGTGCTCTTTAAGAGTCCCTGAGAAGGAAGAAAAGTCCTTTGGGCTTGAAGTATTGTTGTTATTTATTACATTTGTCTGTTTAAACTTTTTAAGGACATCTTCAATCACTTTATAGGTCCCTTACTAGTACTGGTTTGGACCTGCTTCTGTTTCTGAGCTGCTGTAATTCATCACGGCAGAGATTTGACAAGGTGCTGGAAACATCCCTCTCAGGTTTTGATCGATGTTGACATGATGGCTTCACACAGTTGCTGTAAATTCATAAGGAGAATCTCCGGTTCATTTGAAATCACTGTAATGTTATGGGGTGGTGTGTTATCCAGCCAGAAGGAGCCATGGGACACGCGGTCTTAACAGCTGGACGTGTTTAGCAACAACACTGAGGAAGGATGTAGGATTTAAACTATTCTCAGCTGGTACTCAGAAGCCCAGTGTGCTAAAACTACTTGTTGTTCCTAGAGTATTTAAAAGTAGAATGGGAGGCAGAGCCTTCAGTTTTCAGGCCCCTCTTCTGTGGAACCAGCTTCCAGTTTGGATTCAGGAGACAGACACTATCTCTACTTTAAGATTAGGCTTCAAACTTTCCTTTTTGCTAAAGCATATAGTTAGGGCTGGACCAGGTGACCCTGAATCCTCCCTTAGTTATGCTGCAATAGACGTAGGCTGCCGGGGGATTCCCATGATGCATTGAGTTTTTCCTTTCCAGTCACCTTTCTCACTCACTATGTGTTAACAGACCTCTCTGCATTGAATCATATCTGTTATTAACCTCTGTCTCTCTTCCACAGCATGTCTTTATCCTGTCTTCCTTCTCTCACCCCAACCAATCACAGCAGATGGCCCCGCCCCTCCCTGAGCCTGGTTCTGCTGGAGGTTTCTTCCTGTTAAAAGGGAGTTTTTCCTTCCCACTGTCGCCAAAGTGCTTGCTCATAGGGGGTCATATGATTGTTGGGTTTTTCTCTGTATCTATGAAGCGCCTTGAGGCGACTTTTGTTGTGATTTGGCGCTATATAAATAAAATTGAATTAAATTTAATTTAAAAAAAAAAAAATGCCCCACAGTACTAACACCACGAGCAGGGGCCTGAACTGACGACACGAGTAGGATGGATCAGTGCTTTGCATGACCCTACCATATGAATATTGTGTAAATGGTAGCCTCACTCTCCTCTTGTTAGCCGACAGGAGCGGCATCTGGTGTGGTCTTCTGCTGCTTAAGCCCATCGGCTTCACAGTTTAACCATATTGTGTTCAGAGATGCTCTTCTGCATATCTTAAATGTAAGAAGTGGCTATTGAGATTGCTGTTGCCTTTCTAGAGCCATCTACTACCACTGACTGGATACTTTTTCAGACCGTCCCCTGTAAAACCCCAGAGATGGTTGTGCAGAAAAATCCCAGCAGATCAGCAGTTTCTGACACACTTGGACCAGCCCCCCCGTCACCAACAACCGTGAGTGGAATTTAGGATTGTTGTCTAGTTTGATTTTAAAAGGAAAGATTTTTCTTTCTTCATGAGCAGGCTGTGAGTTAAGAAAACCTCTCTGTCGTACAATAACCTGTTAACAGTGTCAAACGGCTGTTTGATGATTTTAATGAAGTCAAATGAAGAACTCAAAGTAAAAGAACCAACACTGAGCTGAATCCTCAAGTCTGTATGTATTGAAATCCTTCCATATTACAGGTATAACGTACAGTACATGTATATTGGTGTACAGACAGGCAATTTAAAAAAGGGGGCTAAAATTATTGAACGATACAAAGAACAGCATATACAAAAGCTTATTTAATGATTCAAGTACCTTTAACTTTATACTTCAGTCCTCTGGAGAATTCAAAAGCATCTGTACAAAATGTACAAGAATTGTATCCCAAGTTTCATCAGCCCCAGGTTTCCTCTGCGATTAACATCTGACTGTATGTCGTGTAACTTCCAAAGTGAAGTGCAGGAGAAGCGAGGAACACAGAAACTAACAGTACAAAACTTCCATCAGTGAAGTTGCAGAAGTCGAATTTGAAGATTCCACTGAACTCACCCGGAGGCGTCTAAACTGGATCCATCAGGTTAATGTCTCAGCTCAACACACGAGAGGACGGAAACAACAAATGTCTCACAGCAGGTGCATTACTCACTAACACATCCGGTTACTCTGCATCGCTCTGAGTTTACAGGTCTGTCATTTTCAAAACATTCCCAAAAACCTGCTAACAAATTTCATTGAAGGGTCGGTGTAGTTTGCTCCTAATTAGCTATGAGAGACGGTGTGCACCATTTACATGTCTGAGTAAACCTCGGCCTCTGTGCTTCAGCGACAGCCGTTCAGTGGATCTATATTTAATCTCGTCTTCTGTATAGTTAGAGGCAGGAAACAGCACAGTGCTGAATTCAGCTGGTCTGAACACGCACACAGCAGATTAATTGGACAGAAAAGCACTGATATTGCTTATAGATTCATCCATGAAATAAGAAGATGCTCATTTTCAGAATTTTTAGTTTTCTGCTGCTTTTTAGTTACGCTGTCAGGGGCAAATGTGTACTTCCCAATGAGTTGCCGAGCGGTTTCTGGCAGTTGTGAGTTGAAATTGACCACAAATGCGTATTATATAAAGTTGCTTTGGTTGCTAGCGGATTGCCACAGTTGTTGAAGTCTGCACAGCAGATGCTAAGTACTTTTGAAGTGGTAGTAAATCTTGAAAAAAGTCTGACCAAAATAATGAAACGATGATAAGTCAGTGGTAAGGCACAACTTCCATATCTAGTTTGTGTCGCACTTTTTCAAGCTTCACTAAAACTCAGCGGTGTTTGCAGATGACTGTACACCGCCCATGCAAACTATAGGCGACAATTGCAATCTACTAGCAACCAAAGCAACTGCAAGGAGCTATCTGATGCCTTTGCGACCGCCAACAGCGACTCGTCAGCCGGTCAGAGAATTCACATTTTTCAGTAACGACCAAACCGAACAGCAACCTTGCACAGAGGAAAAAACAAAGCCAACAGTTGTGCGTTGATTGCACTGAATTTTTTGGTGTCAAAGACCAAGCGTGCAATACCCTCAACCTTTAGGTGACCACGTGGGAGGGAGCGTGTCTCCAAAGAAAGCCGGGACACGGACTGACTGCATTCGCTCTCAGACAGATTGCTGAGAGTTTGCAGATAACTGTTGATACAGTCAGTCTGCACCGGTGAGGGCGACTCATCTGTGATGCACATCTTACAATAGGAAACTTGACTCACCTGGTCTAAACCGGTTGTACCGTGGTTATATTCCTACATCAAAGCAAGGCTGATGAGCACCTGTGTCATTTTGCAGTTAAATTGCCGTCCTGCAGCAACTACATCGTTATTTATGGAAGAATTACTGCTTCAAACGTAAGCGATTTCATGCAACTGCCAACGTGACCTCATTCAATCACAAACTGATATCAGACTGACTCCAGCATCTTCTTCCTGTCCTCAAAGCTACACCTATTTCAAAGGCAACAAGTTTATTGCACACAGTCGCAGCAACGTTTTGGTACAGCCACTGTATTTTGTGTGACTGCAGCATTAGATACGTTACAGACAACTGCTAAGCTATAAAACACATTTTACCGCGCGCTGCTGTCGTCTTATTAAAGGGCTTGTATAACGATCGATAGCCGTCTGGTTTACAACAGCAGGAGGATGTTTTGTTTTTCTGACGAGCTGCTGTGAATGTCGAGCCACTCGACTATGACAGGATTGATCAGCATTAACTGTTTTCTTTTAGTTTTTCATGGATCTACTCTGGGAAAATGCCATTATGATAAAAACAGCGTTACACTGTCACACCGACAAACACCTGGAAAATTATTGACCCATAAAATAAAGCGTTGCCTGTATCTACACAGTGAAATCATCCCAATAATGACCGATGGTTTTTCAAACCACTGCAGGTACTTGTGAGAAATTACATTTCTAAAAAAGAAAAGCATTTAAAAATCAAGTCAAATCAACTATTTAACCTTACATGTGAATTGATTCTGGGTTTGCTGCTGTCAGAGATCACTGTACACTTCAAAGCCACCATCCAAACTGGTAGACGTCTGTGGTGATTTAACATAAAAGCATACGGACACTTATACACTTACTGATGATTCTCTAAAGAAAAACTTACATTAAAAAAATGCTGCAGCTCATTAAAAGAGTCCCAATGAAAAGAAGAAGCAGTTAACAAAAAGCATGAAACAGAGCCTTTAAAAGTCTGCCGTGGGCTTACTTCTGTGCAGCTCTGATGCACCACAACTTTAACTTTATTAAAAAAAAACAATAAGTGTCCTTCACCGTCACAAAGTGTGACAGCAAACATTTAACTCAGTCAAAGTAAGCGACAGCCTTGACGGCATCTTTACATTCAGTCTGAGTGTAATTATCATTGGATTTAAGACTATGTGAATCCTTCCAAAGGCTTTAACACTGTACCATTTACTTACTGTTATACATCCTATTAACATGCACAGTTTAAAAAAAAAAAAAATCCACTGTTGAAGCTCCCCTTCACTTGAACGAAGCACTCGCCTTGGTGAAAACGAACTGATGAAAGGGAGCTTTGGCTACATTAGATACGGTCGCTGGCTTTGATGGGCCGTTTCTGAATGAGTGTGAATGTGAAGTGGACATCATTCCAACTTTTGTTTTTGTGAAAACAGCCCTTCTGACCGTGGGTGGACGGCGCTCTGCAGTGTCACGGCTGCTGTGAGTCGTACTGCTAGTAGCGGTTCAGCTTGTCTGGGTCATTGGAGGCCATGTGGGTGAAATCCTGGAAAATGTCCTGGTACGTTTCGTCTCCTGTAAAAACACGGGGGAGAAAAGACATGAGTAACAAAACTTGTCTTTTTTTATTTTCTTAGGAAACAGTGTAAGACCATAGACTGTATATCAAAGATGGACATTTTGACCTCTTTAAAAAAAAAAAAAAAACAAAAAAAAAAACTAGACAAACAAACAAAAGGATTATAATTTACAAAAATACATCATTTTGTAATTAATAAGATTTAAAACTAGCGACTGAAACCATCAAGTCAATTATCAAGGTCACTTCTGTACAGTCGTGTTTTTTGCAACCAGAGGGGTCGCCCCCTGCTGGTCATTAGAAAGAATGTCAGTTTAAGGTACTTCCACAAAGCAGATGAATTTATGCTTCAGAGTTAAATCTGCACCGCCTTAAGATATGATTATACGGCTCTGAAGTAATGAATCCTTCTTTGAAGACCACTTTAAGTCCACTCCCTGGGGGGGCGCACGTGCAGCTGGTGCACTGTAAAGTCCTTGTTGGTGAGTCTGTGTGGTCACAAAAAACAGACAGAAACGTGGCATCCCCACAGACCCTTGCGGTCCAATCTATATCGCTCAGCGTCTGTGTTAAATCTAGCCGTCAGTAACCTGATGTGCACCTCCAAGAAATGCATCTGTACATCGTGTTAAAGCAGCTGCAACGATATTTATTGGCCTGTTCAGTACAGTAAATTCCTTCTGTGCATTTGCTGCCACTTTTATTTGTTTCTATTGTAGCTGGCACCGTATCTAAAACACAGAGTTACTGTAAAGTAATCACAACATAATCCCCGAGCACAGGTCTGAATACTGGCAATCATGCCGGCCACTTGGTGGGCTTTACAACGATTCACCAAAGTCGTCTAAATCAACCACGAAACCCTACGCTGTAACCTGACGTGCCTCTCCCTAGAAATGCACTGTGATTGGCCCGTTTAGTACCATCCTTCCCTCCTATTCACGTCCAGCTATTTCTTCTGTCGTTGTATCGCAAATCAAATGAAAGAGAAACGATCAATTCAGCAAGAGAATCTTAATTGCCAACGTAGTGGCAACAATGTTACCCCGAACACAGGTGCCACTTAAGTGGTTTTTGTAATTTCCACGTTTGCAGTTCCACTTTCAGCCTCATCATCGGACAGTTATCGCAAAGGTACGGCCAGACGTCTGCGAGCCTGCCTGTTTTTGTGACTCCAGCTGCACAGACTCTACATAGGACTCAGACGTAGACGTTTCAATTAAGCTCACGCTTCACCCAGACAGAATTATGGAAATTATGCACATCTTTTATATACAGTCTATGACAAAAACACTTCATTGTAGATACGTTTAAGAAGGGAAAAAACTGTTTACTGGACTGCTCATAACTTATGTTCACTACAAACTAAAGTATTGACGGGGCTGCATGAAATAATAAATCCTCCATCTCGTATCTTCTGCTGTAGCACAAATGTTTTGTTTCCTGCGTAGAGGCAGGTGTTTAAACAATGTTCACAAATAGCTGAACTTTTCCCCATATTCCCCTTCATATTCATATTCTGCCAAAGTCTTCAATTTGTCAAGACTACAGTGATCATAAACCCCAATGCCCTCATTGTGCAGATGTAAAGCAGGTAAAACATGCACAGAGTTTCATGCAAAGTGGGGAGGGGGCTCATGCAGCGACAGTGTCATCAGTGTCAACAAGAGTGAAAAAGAAAAAATAATTAGCCATACCTGTTAAGAGTGCTGGCGTGGTTGCGAAATATGAAACAGAACAATGTAGAGGGGAGAAAAGAGGCGAAGGACAGAAGAAGCAAAAGGCAAATGTTTGAGGAAACAGTCAGCGAGGCCCTCGTTAGCAACGGGACACGGACTCGGAGAGGAAAGACAGCCCACAGACAGCAAGTTTGTTTCATCAACAACTGTATTGTGTTTAAAGTGCAGGAGTTTATGTACAAAAATACAGTTGTGTTGGCCTCAGCACCCCAAAGAAAGAGAGAAAAGAAGAAAGGCACAAACTCTGGGGAGGAGAGTGAGAAAAGCAAAATACAAAAAGTGACAGAACAGATTTACATAAAAGAGAACGTGAGAGTGTGTTAGGAGGAAGAGAAGAAAATTCCACCTTAATCAGATCAGTGGTTCTCAGTCGGTTTTAAGGGTAAATTTCTTGTTTTGGGGGGTTTTAAGAACACGACATGATGTTGTAAAAGAATAGTATTTAAAAACATCGTAAAATTATTTTAAAAAATCATTTAAATGCCAAGAAATATTAAACCGAGAACCACGGCTCTGCACTTCAAACACTCGAGTCAAGAGAACTTCTTTTAAAGAGAAAAGAAAAGGAACAGAGGACTAATGAGGTCACCTCTCCCTCACATTCATTAACCCTGAATATCCCTCATCACTCTCAGCACTCATCAGCTGATTGGAGGGTGCTGATGAAGAGGCGCTGGAGTACCAAACATGTTTTTAAATCTCCTTTTCTGCTCAACACAAACATCCTCTCACAATCACTGCTAACAAACCTGCTGCTGACCTGTTCGGCATCAGCAGCAGTTTCTAAACCAGTCTCTATCAATAACCATTAAATAAACAACAACAAGACAAAAGAACTTCTAGTTATTTGTTGTAAGGTCCAAACAGTTACTAACAGTGCATCTTCCTCCAGCTGTGCATTTCGCCCTTAGTGTAAACGCTCCGTTCTTCGAGAAGAAATGAGCTCAGCCCTCCTCTTCCTGTGTGTCAGCACACACAAATGAATAAATCCTTTTGCTCCACAATCGCACACAAACATTTCATAGAGAACTACTAAACACCAGATCTCTAACATCCAGGGACATCCACACAAATCAGCGATTAGAAACGTTGCATTGACGCTCTGCCTGCAGCAGGGGGCGCTGCTCTGTCAGTGACCGTTTCATCAAAGTGCTTTGGCGCCCTCCGAGCAGTCGGGGCAACATGAGAGAGACGATGTGGGATGAAACTGGGGTACAGTTCAATCATTCATTGCCTGTCAGCAAACCTCACCCTCCTCTCCGTCTACATTCGTTTTGAAAACCTAGATTGTTTTTCAATTTCTTTGCTTGTTTTTTTTTTTAAATAATAAAGCTCCCATAATGATTAACGTGAATATAAGCCAGAACAAGCAGGCGATCAAAAGCTATACATGGTTACATGTGGATACGTTTCTAGACTATTGCACTATTGCTGCTTGAGATGTACCACCTTCAAATCCACTAACATTCAGGACGATTAGTGCAAGGGCTCTAAAAGTCCTTTTGTCTTACAATTCTGGATTTCCCATGATTATGGGCAATGAGCAAGCACACTACAACCAAGACACTCAAAAGAAAAGTATGCGAACACAAGAGTCCTCATGGCACTTACTGCTGTGCAACCAGAGTCACTCTAAAAACATCATTTACAGCATGTACAGTAAGAATACCTAGACTTACTAGAGTTATCTCTATAAAAGAAAACTGCTCTAAAAACATCTGTCATGTAACACCAGAAAGATGCGTCATTAAATAAGTAAACAGGACTTGACAAGCAGTTAAGACTTCAAATAAGAACCATACAGTCATGGGAAAAGGTACAGCAGTTGCATAACCATTAACAGGAAGGTGCATAAATGACTTCTGAAAGGTCAGTTGAAAGGAAAAAGATTACAGACACGCCTCTCACGACGATTTTAAAAAGCATCATTCAAAAAGTCTTGATTATTGCCAGATACTGTAGTAGAGACTGCCCTCCCTCTGAGGTCTGAGTGTCACTGGATACTGGTGGCAGTTACTGGGCAGATTTTTTTATTTTTTTATTTATATATATATATATATTTTTTTTTTGCAAAGATACTGTGACTGCTGGCAGAAACACAACAGGAATTTAAAAATAACAATTACTTTAATCAAAACAAAACAAAAACCTACCTTCTAATCACCTCTAAAACCGAGGAAAAATATTTTTGTGCTATCAGTAACTTGACATGAGTAACAGTCACTTAAATGGAAAAGGTGGCTGTTCCAGTTTGGAACAAAAACTCTAATACTGCCCAGAGTCGATGGCTTTAACCCTGCCGCTGAGCGACAAGGTGCAGAGCTGGTGGAGCACCTGGCAGGAAGTTGTAACAGCAGGACACACGAGCACAGCTGGCAGAGTTAGGCTCAGCTCACTTAAATAGGCCAGTGGATTAAATTCCTCTCAATAAAGAAATCGCCCAAATTTTTAACAATACCCCTGAGAATGGATGATTGGGGGCGGTGCTCTTTTAAGTCAGCTGACCCCAACTCCGACACTTTATGTTTCCTAGGCGTCGTTGGCTCAACACGCAGCGGCTGGTTATTCAGATTCATCCAGCTGCAAGCTAATAAACTCCTGCATGCACTTCCTGTACTGCATCTCGGTGGGGCTGTTGGAGTTATATTGACCTGACTGGCTGTAGGGCCCCTCCGCCTCCCGCATCTCCTCGTTCATCTTGGCTAGTCGCAACCTGGGGAGCGAATAAAGAAACAGGGAATTAAAGGTAACAGCACATTTCAATCCACTCTGTAATCTAAGATTAGTACCACGACACTCACAGGGTGACAATGTCTGCGTTGGCCGCCTCCACCGCTATGGACAGCGGTGTTTTCTCCTCAATGTCTGCAGCGTTTTGATTCGCTCCTCGTTTCAAGAATAAACACACTTGCCTGCAACGGAAATGCAAGTTGTTTTTTTGAGTGTAAAACATAATCCGCGTTGCATTTGTAGTAATAAAGGTGGGGAGAAGTGGAAACAAACCCCGTGTGTCCCAGCATGGTGGCATGATGGAGGGGTCCTCGGCCCTGAGCGTCCTGTTGGTTCACATTCGCTGCATTTTGGAGCAGAAACTCACAGGTGACCAGAGACCCCTGAAATTTACAGGTGTTTATAATGACACATGCCTTTCTTTCAAGAAGCACAACACATTAGGTCTGGATTTGTTTTAATTCACACACTATGCTTTTAACAGGTAAATATGGAGGAGTATAGATATTAGTATCTGCAAATGTCTCAAACCCAAACTAAAGGACAGCTGGATTAAACTAAACAGGTGTGATATCGTTTCCATGAAGTCAAATGCTCGAGTAAATAAGAACGTCTCTGTAATTTTTAGAGTATCTTTAGATAATACTGGCGTTCATCACTGCTACCCTGCAGGCTCCTAGTCGATGCATGTATGGCATTAATATCCAACTTCTAGGTGGCTTCCTTCTTGAGTTATCGTACAAGATATTCATAAAGCTTGACCTTAAGATCGATGTTCAGTGAGATTCTAACTCCTCACAGATTATTAAGTAGATATTTAGTAAATCGCAACCCCCAATCCCGCCCACTCTGCAGGCAGAGGAGCCTTTTACGACCGAGAGGAAAAAGCTACGAGTTTATTATTTGGCTGAAACTTGACGCAGACATCGAAGACAGGCAACACCTTATTTCATCCACCTGTGTGACATAAAACTGGTGAAAAGGTTTTAAATCTGCCGACCACTGAGTTTAGCGATGTATGGTACCAAGCTGAATTACTGTAGCCATACTGACCCCCTGCACTGCCATGATCAGCGGGGTCCTCTTTTCCTCCTCCGTATTGACCCAGTTGACCTCGGCTCCGTGGGCTAGCGCCTCTGCCATGTCCGGCAGGCTGCGGGCGCAGGACGCCCAGTAGAGCTGAAGACCCGGGCTGTACTCCTTGGGTTCATAGAAAACCATCTCCTTACAGGGTGACGGAGGAGGCAGTGTGGCGGGCATGGGCATGGGTGGAGTCTCAGCGGGTTCTGAAAATGAGAAGATGGGTGTGAGCGAAGTCAAAGTAATTTTCCTTCTAACTGAAAAATACTATACCTTCTACAACGCAAAGCATGTATGATTGCATAATGCCCTATTTCTCTCTCAGAATCTCAGCGTCTCAGCACAGAAGAGAGCAGAGGTGAGTGCGTCTTACCTGCATCTGCCAGGCTGTCATTGGAGGGGGTGGTGGCCAGCATCTCCCTGCTCCCATCAGCACTGTTCTGGATGCCGCTGTCTGCACTTTTTACTGTAAAACAGAGTCTGAGTCACTGCTTGTAGAAGAACGTGAAGATATTTGCTGAGCGTATGAAATAAAAGGAGCACTCTGCTGCTGCTGCTTGTTTCTGGCAGTGGAAAGTAACTCTTATCAGAGCTTGTTTGTAGCCAATCAATGTGTTCGGCCTCTCAAACTTATTTCAGCCTGATTAACAGAAACAGCAGGTGTTCCTAATATTTTTTACTCAAGGTGCCGACAGTGTGGGAAGAGAAAGAGAACCGGATGACAGATCCCCGCCTTCACCTTAAATTCCAGGTCCCTAAAAACCAAAAATATGACACAGATATATGCGAAAATACCAACACACTAAACAAAACCATGTGTGAGAAACACTCCCCACCCCTCAGTCCAAAAGAAAAAATGCAATACGGAAAACGTGACTGGATGGCTCATTAGCACGGTCCGTATGAAGAAGGAAATGAGGAGGATGAAGAGTTGTTAGTCCTCAGCCCAACGCCGTGACTTCAAATGGACACAGGGGATGGAAAGCAAGCGAAACACTAAGCATTCAGTACTTACTGCTCCTGAGCTTGGAGGAGGTGTCAAAGTAGGAGAAGAGCGAGTCAAGCTCGTCAGGACAGAAGAGAGAGTCCCGGCGGGCCTCGGCGCCACTGGCAGCAGCTACGCAAGGGATGATGGGAGTTTGGAGAGCGAAGGGTGTAAATTGAGTGGCAGGGTGGGGTTATAGGGAGAGGCAGTCAGGGCAGGGGTTAGTTCGGAAGCACAGAACAGCCAGAGGGGGAGGAAAGGACAGAGAGATTTAGGGAAAGGGGAAAAGCAGGGTGGAAGCACAGACAGTTAGACTACTGGCTCGGCTGACGCTGGAAGAGACAGACTCTACGGAAAGCAATGGGAGGCAAAGAGAGCAGAGACATACGCTATTCACAAAGAACATGCAGTATGCCGATGGGTGGACACTTCTTCATGGTAGGAAGCGTCGCACGAGCAAATCCTTCTTCGTGTGATGTATTTATTTAGTTTGTTTGTTTTTACTGGAGAAAGTTCTGATTCTGAGGGAGAAACAACCAAACTCTGAAATCAGATTAATTAATTTTGTTTGGGTGCTCTAAAAAGAAACAAATTAAAACATAAAGATACATTTAAATGAAAAAGAAAACAACAACATGTAAAAAAAAAAAAAAAGTATAAAAAAATATTACAAAATATGTTTTGGAGGCAATGACCCACTAACAGTTCGAATCCCGAGGCTTGCAGCGAAGCTAACTGTCGGTTTAAAGCTGTGTTTCTCATTTACTTTGAACTGACCTGACTGCCCTGAAGCATTCGAACCAGGTCGAAGTTTTGGTGTGGGTGGAGGCGCTTTTGGTGGCATGTGCTCAGAGTTGCCGCTCAGCCTCTTCTCCTGTTTGCTCAGAGAGACCACTTTGCTGCGAAGCTCCTCGTCTGACGGCCGGCGTACAAATCGACGATCCACATACTTGGCTTTGATGTAGGCCTCGACCTCGTGCCTGTGAGCGAACCAGAAAAACATTTCATTTATGAATGAAGTGAAAATGAAAGTTGGCCGTCAGTGAGTCATAAGTACAATTTACTAGGAAACAAAATAGGTTACAAAAGCAATTTTTTGGTCTGAAATTACAAGCATGCTCTCTTGTAACTCGGTACCTCGGATCTCCCGGCTGTGGTTTTCTTGCTCCAAGCTCCTCTCGCCGAGCTTCATAGATCTGGTTGATTACTTTGTTGCCCAGTTCACACATTAACTGGAAAACATGTAGATTAACATCAGTGGACTGATGTTACTCCAGCCATATGTTACTCTTCCTGATCCTTAATGGATCTTATTAAAAGGCAGAGTGATAACAAAATAAAAACTGTGTGTGTAACCAAGGCAGACCATTCATGTGCATTTGTTTGTAAACCTTCTTCTTACTCACCTTTAGCAGTTCTGGTTCCCAAGTGTCCAAAGTCAAAGAACGAACCTTGGAGAAATGCACTCCCAGACTCCTGTAGGTGGCAGAAGCAGGAAAAAAAGCAAGACAGTGTCAGCTCTGTGTGCTTTAAATTGTGAAAGCGATAAAATGTTTTTGTTTTAGCTTCGTGGTGAAAACTGTGGTCTCACATGTTCACTCACAAAAACCCATGCACAGTATGGAGAGAACAGATTTACAGACAACACAGTCCCACTGTCTGTGAAATATACAAATGCACGTAGTGGGAAAGGAAAAAATTGTTTTTGATGTGTCCTCTAACAATCTTACTAAATTCACACAAATCAGGAAAATTGCAAAAAGGCCCAGTGTATTTTTGGGTTGGTATCCTTGATGATCAATGCTGTACCGTGAAAGCGTGGGAAGCGACCTGACGCTTTTTATCTATATTAAACTTTAATTACATTTACCCAGGAAAATAATTAAAGGTTATCACAACATCTCAGTTCACACACCAGTGAGTTTACAGTTCAGAAACCCCTGAAGACATCTGTGATCCCGGAGGATTTTATATACTGGAGCCAACATACTTTGCATAACTTCTAGTTTTCACAGACCTAACATGAACTCTTAATGAACTGCATTCCTGCAGTGTGGTAGACAAATAAATAAAATGTTCCAGAAATGTCCAGGTTTTCTTCTTTTTTAACTTCTTTAAATTTTCTAAGCAATTAAAAGTTGGTTACTTAAGAATTTGATATTTTCCTTTAATCCTTTGTTATGTTTGCTTCATCTTTATGTAAGAAGTTGCTCACAGCAATAATCAAAGAGCTGTTATATGGATTTGCTTATGAAAATATAGCATTGTACCTGTGGATGCCAGAGCACTGTATACACAGGGTGATGCCCAGGTTGATGCTGGCCCAGCGGGGCTCCGGCTGCCCACAGTCGCAGCAGCAAACATTGCCTGGGATGGCCAGGACTTTCTGCAGGGCACTCTCTCCTTTCAGTGATCTCTCCTTTGGCTCCCCTCCAGAGTCCAGGCTCCCTGTTGATGTGGACGACTTCCTATCCAGCTTCTGACAGGAAAGAAACAGGGAAGGCGCACAGACAAAAATAAAGGACAAAGCAGACGTATTAAAATGAGTAAATAGAAACTGATCATCAGGGAAAAAATGCAAGAAGCAAACAGTCAATGAAAAACTCTGTTATTTGCATAAATCTACACAAATAAGTGTTGCAAAATTAACAGAAATCCTGCCACATTAGTTTTGAGTCAAAAGACTTTGTATCTTGGCTTTCTGGTGTATGTGTGGGTTTTTACCTCGCTGTCATCTCCCTTGTCGCGGAAGGCGGTGGCGATGCTGTTCTGGACAGCTTTGATCCAAGCCTGTCGCAGCTTCTCGGAGTCTGCCTGCATCATACAGCTCCTGTGGGGGCAGACAAGCGTCACACAGCTGCTGTCAGCTCAGAGCAGGAGTGTCGGCACCAGAAGGCGGGTAGGCTGGTGCTCCACCTTGCCACCTTTTTAAAAATACTCATGTGCTCATTAAGCTGACAGAGGGCGTAACGTCACTGACTCAAACCTACTTGGTGGGTGACACGACTTCAAAACAGAAGCGACGCTCTATGTCCTCGCAGTGCTTGACTGTGCATAGCCTCAGGTCTTCTACCACCACTGTAGGGTTGTCCTGCAGGCACAGCAGAGGGACTTACATCCAGCAACAGGCGCCCACTTCTTTTACCACAAAGGTTATTGTTCGCAGAACTATATTGTCCAGTTTCCTTAACATTTTTATTAAGTTGGTAGTGACAAGTTCTGTCGCACTAATAATAATTACAGTTGGGGTTATTTTGTTGTAGCATGATGCAAAGCGCAGAGTATGTAACAAAGCCCCAACTGCTCTTGCTCTTTTGACTTTGGTACTATAATCTGGGACAAAACTAAATGTTAGGCCTCTGTGACACAAGCCTCGAGGCCGGTCGGCAAACACCTGGCAACCACAGGTTGCTAAGGACAAATGTGCTGATTGGAGAGTGGTTGCTGGCAGTCACCAGGTGAAAACAGCTGCATGGAGGTATATGGTGCTGCGCTGAAACCTTCCTTGCAATTGCCTTGGTAGCTAGCACACTGACCTGTCTGCACACATGCACCAACTCTTCACTGAGCAGCAGTGAAACTTTGAGACTGTAAGCCTTCAAAATAAAAGTTGTGTCTCACAGCTGCACCCAGCATGTTTACAGAAGCACGACTCTTCCTCGGTTTGCTAAAGCTCAGTGACTAGTTTTTGGTGCAGCACCCTCTTTCTGATCAATTTCATTAGCAACATCCAGCAACCGCTCTCCAACTGGTCATTGAAAAGATTTTTTTCCCTAGCAACCTGTGGTTGCAGACTTGTCTCTAAACCTGTGTGGTTGGAGGGTTTTTAAATTCTGACAAGGATAAATGTACATAAAGTAGAGATTCATTAAAAAAAAAAACAACTAAACTTTTCCAGTATATAAGAGGACTTTATTGTGAGCTCTTTCTATCAAACACACAGAAACCAGGGGCACAGCTGTGCCGTCCAGTTAAAAATACACAGAGAGATGTTTGCGCTGGAAGTCAAACGCGTGCATGACTGTCATGGTGGCCGTGCAGAAAGTCACTTGACATACCTTAAATTTCTTCTGGTAAACCAGCTGATTGTTTTGGATGGTGAACCAGCGCCTGAAAGGAGATCACAAGTTTATTAGAAGATAAAGTCACATGCAAGTGATGCTCCTAAAATAAGACGCTTTGATATCTTCTGATGTGGATGAGAGAGAGTAATCCTAAGGCATTTGAACACAACACACACAAAGACAAACTATGGTGTTCTGCAAAAGTATATGTTGGTTTGATTCATAACATGTTTATATCCACTTGGGGGAAAAATGGTCAAGAGGAAGCAAAAACTTGAGTCTGTATGTTCTCGATTTCATTTGTGTTGATTTACAGGAATTAAAACACAAAGATGACAAGATGAATGGAAATTCTTCCAAATTATTAACACTTCCTGTGAATCTTAGCTAGCTTTACTCTGCGTCTGTGATTAATAATCATTCTTAAAATGCACTTGAAGCTTTTCCTAGGATATCAAAGTATATAAAACTCTGCAATCAGTCCAAAGGAACCACTTCAAAATAAACTCTATACATTATACCTATTCCATGTCTTGAAGGCATTGCTGGCCCTCTTAAACAGATAACCCTCCATGGCGATGCCGTTGTCTGTATCCACATTGTACTCCAGCTTTGTGTCGTCATTCGAGAAATCCTGAAAAATAATAAGGAAGGAAGAGAGGAAAGCAAACAACAACTGAATTAAAACAGGAAAAAACACATTAAATCTTCTGATGCTGGTGAGTTTCTCTTGTTTGTCTATATCAGGGTTTATCTGTATAAGCTAAGTGAGTGTCACGGCCCCGCTGACCTGACTGACGATTCGCGAACCAGGAAAGACAAACAGCAGCCACAGCGTACGAGCACAGGCCAATAATCTATAGCTACCAATGCAATGTAATGTAATGCTTGAGAAAGAAACCTAAGTGAAAAAAAAGTGTGTCGAGATACACCGTATTTGTTAACAATTAACAAAAATCCAGCAACAAGGCAAACCAACATTTGTTATTTAAAATACTGGAGACACGTAGAAGTATACAAAGCAATAAACGTGGTGTTATGAAGCTTTTATTGCATAGCTTCTTACAGCACTAGTGACGCACTGCTCTTCAACGTGTAACGCAGGAAAAAAAAAACAACCTGTCATGCATCCCATCTCTGATTGACTCTCAGTCGTACGTGTTGTCATGTGACTGCCCTCTCAGTCTGGCTTTAACTACCAGAGCAGCTGCCACACTCCTAACACCCTCCCAGCTTTCTCAGCTTCAGGTGACACCGGACACCAGAAGCATGCGCGTGCGTGCATGTGTGTGTGTGCATGTGTGTGTGTGCATGTGTGTGTGCGTGTGTGGACTCATTTTACATCAGGTGTCACCGTCTCCAAAATCAATTACAGCTCGATACATCAAGATCTGTTACTGTGGCGAGCTGGGGACTCATCCTCTCTGTTGTCCTTCTAGAAAGATCCACAGTCTTTTTTGTAACTCAGACTTGACTCGTTCAACCTGCATTAGAAAAGCAGTGATCGGCTCTCAAGCTAGTTGAAGCTGGTGGAAATAAAGTGCTGGTCACAGTCTTTCTTATCTGCTTTGGAAGTATATGTATATACACACATACATATATACATACATACATATTAGTAAAATAAATAAATAAATAAATAAATAAATAAATAAAATAATCTGGATTCTTTTCAAGGAACATCTGGGATTTTCAGGAGCAAACACTGAATGATCCACGAGTCTCTCATGGTAACTTCCTGAATGTACAACCCCTGTTACAGCCCAGAGATGTAGATGTAACCCATGAAAAATATGTCCTATTCCATGTTGTACCGAAAGGATATGCACACATGCACACACACAAACACACTGGCAAGCACAATTTTCCAGCACGACATACACTGGAATGAGTCGAGTTATTTTTGTGCACAAGGGGAACAAAACGTGTCTGCGTTTAGTTTCTGACTAGGGACACAATGGAAAGTCCAGGCATTAATAAATCCCCGTCTTCCTGAAGGTGGGACAAAATTTAAGTCCCATAACTTTTAACAATTATTCTTTAAACTTCAAACACTAGAAATAGCGGCCCCTAATTTCAGCTTGATGTGTGGTGGCCGTCACCCATACATCAAACAAATGCTACAAATGTTACTATTAAAGAATGACAGAGTTTCAGCTGCTGCTGTCACGTGAAAAAACTTTCCAGTTCTTGGTTTCAACTACTGGTTGAGAAACCTGACGTGACCACTTCAGCTTGGGAAAGTATCGTCAAACCCATGACATAAACCTAAAAACAGGTAGTGGCTGAAACAAAGCTCATAGGGGCTTGTTCTTAGTTCCTGATTTTAAATATATTATCTAAGAAGTAAAGAAAAAAAAAAGTTATGAAAAACCGCAAAACAAAACAAATATGTAGAAAAGAAAAAACCCCGGCATTAAACCAGAAGACTTCAGTGACGCAGACACTGACAATAACGATGACACATCAGAATGAAACGAGCTGCATTAGCAACACTAATGCATGTGCTGCACTTCAGAGTAAGAAAACAGACAGAGATGCAGATAACTGCACAAACACTGTAATGAGGTCCTGCAACGCATGCAGGGGAGGAGATGAAAGGCCGAGAATCGATGCATTGACTCTACGTACAGAGGTCGACCTCCAAGCGCAAAAGTTGCTGTAGTCTGGTAAAAAGTGGAGCTCTGTCACCTCCTAAAACACCACACACAAACACACAGCGAGAGAACGACACACAGAGAGAAGAACATTGCTTTTGCTAACGCTAACACAGAAGAATCGGTCACGGATGTAAGTGTAAGAAGCCACAGACACAAACACATGCTTTACAAGTTCTTATCGGATGCACTCACCAGATACCAAACGTAGTGAAAGCGACTGAAAATCCTCATTTTCCCCAGATTATTGCACACAAATCAATTTGAATGTGTGTTTGCTTACGCGCGTCTCTGTGCAGCATCCCAACAACAGAAGCTACCTGAAGCAGTGTGGCCTGTCTCGTCAACAAACCCTCGCCACCTCCTCTCCTGTGGCTGTGCGTCTATCAAAACCTCCGTCACAGCCTCTGCTGCTCCTCCTTTAAGTGAAGGTCACCAGTGTGTCTGTGTGTGTCTGTGTGTGTGGCTCTTGTGACTGCTGGGTTAGAATAATCAAGTGGACCACGCAGAGGAGTTCGAGCATCAAACATTTATAGTGACTACAGTTTAACACTCAGTGCGCTCAGCTTTTCCCCTCGCTCTCTCATCTCCCTTGGGTGTGTGTAAATAAAGTAGCCAGTCTTTCAGGCAAACTGAATATCTGTAGCATTTGACCCTTTAACATGAACTGCAACCAATAAATAAATAAATAAACGTCTTCTGTAAATGCCGGCTGAGTGTAGGCGTTTCTTGCACAGCTGTTACAACTGCAGTCACTTGTTATTTGCTCACTCTATGAGATAAAACAGACATCTTCAGCCCATCTCAAGCTTTCATGTAGCTACTGAAACATGCACTGAGGTGTCAGTGCTTCGAGTTATGCACACATTAGCAGAAAGGAAGTATCCTAAACACAACCTCAGGACCCCCCTGAGGACTGAAGCCTCCTTCCACACATAATGATGGGAAAGGATTTCAACTGAGATAAAAGGCAGTTACCAGTAGCAACGACTCATTTTCTTTGGCAGACATCAAACACATAATTCAATTCACCAAAAAAAACTATTTTAACTCCTGAGTAAATGTCTGGTTGTAACAAAGTTGGGGAGCAAAAAGTGAAGCGCGGGTGTGAAAGTCAGAACTACTACTCAACTTCTTAATCCCATAGATCTGACTCCTGCAACAGCAGATCAACAAGCGTCAAGTCAGGCCTATATTTGATTTAAGTACAGTGGCCTATCTTATCAGACTAATGTCATGTTAGGGATATTTAATAAAGAAATACCAGCTCTAGAGGTTCTCTAAAATTATAGTGGCTTTTATCAGTGCGCTTTACTTCATACAAGTGTACTACACTCTGCAAATAACAGAACCTTATTCAGGATGACAAAATCATGTGCATGTTGTCAAAAAAGCTATTTTCACTAAAACGATGTGAGCTGAAGATTACAAAAACGCACAGTGCAGGAAAAATGAAGAGAAACACTGCTTACCTGCAGTGCAGCCTGGAGGGAGTAGAAGAAGAAAAGAGGAGGAAAAAAGAGCAGAAGCACAAGAAAAGAAGAGACAGTTGGTTAGGAGTGTCCATGTACAGCCAGACAAGAGAGCAGGGTGGGAGCCAGACCACATAAAAATAGCATCTAGATAAATTGAGGGAGGTGAAGTGGGGGATAGGTGCTCAAGGACAGGCGGGAGCTGGCACACGTACCATCAGTGACTGGGTAAAACAGGAAACAAGGCTAAATAATGAGACTGAGGGGACAAAAGGAAAGATGGAAAAAAAAAGGATGTCAAATGAAAGACGGGGCAGAAGAAGCTTTGCACATGCAGAGACTGAAACGAAGGTCACTGACAGGCAGACAAATGAACAGAAGCCCAGCAAACAACAGCTGGGTAAGGACACAGGCTGTCTGGAGTTAATGATGCTGTGGGATGTTCAATTAAAGTTAAGAGCAAATTTACTGCCACCACATAATGTAATATAACGACCCACATCCTGTCGAGGTTTTTGTCTGCTGTGGGTTTGTACTCTGCTATCGGAAAAATACTAGGATTAAAAGCTAAAGAGTTAAAAAAAAAAAAAGATCTCATTTGAGAAGCTTATCTTTACTTTTGCCAAATTTACTAATTATAGGCGAAATATGAAAAGCATGACTCTGGACAGAGACATCGAAACCAAACCTTGTTTGTTTGGAAATGGGTTTCTGTAAGCTATCAATATTGCACGGGTGTGTGGCTTAGATGCTCCACAGGGATCACCTTACACCTGAGGGTGGAGTCCTACCTCCATTCATTCAAATGATAAACATGTTTCTATAAATAAACCAGCATATTAAAGTTGTTTTGGGAAGAATTCACTTTTTTAAATTGACTCCAACTCCAATTATAAATCCAATCTAACCATTTTACTGACCAAGAGTCGCAGCAGGCCTATTAGAGCTGAGGGCAAGAGGTAAGTGTAACCACTCGATCACAGGGCTCTACCTCAAAGTGTTTTTATACATTTCCCCCAAATGTTCATATTTGTACATAAGTTACCCTGAGAATAAGGCTGGACGCCTTCACTTGTCATTCGTGCTTTTCATTCACATTAGTGCAGCTAATTATGGTGTTCTGTGGATTGAAGGTTATTTTCGTGAGCAAGTGCTGCAAACATTTTTGCACAAAATTGAGGGAACAAAATAAATAAATAAATAACACCAGATTTTGAGTGTGTTCGCACCTTTTGTTGGATGGTGGAGTGCTTCTGCTCCATGTCCCTCTTCTCTTTGGCAGCATCCACCACCAGCTGGTCCAACTGCAAGAGACAGAACAACCAGTAAGCCAAGCACACCGAGCCGACCGGTGACAAGCGTTTCATTCAAAACGACAAAACTAAACACTAATTAAGAAAAATATCTATTTATTTCGAATTAAGGATTGAATGATCCAGTGCCACCACATCTTTAAACTGCACCTAAAAGGTCGCGTGAGCATGCGTGCGTTGATGATGCTAACGCCACTTTCCACGGGCCAGACCGAGAGAAACATGCTTTTTCTCCTCTAACCAAAATGGACTGCTCTGAGGAGAAATTAGACGGGAGATGATTAATTCTCTTTGTCCCTGTGAGCAACCGACACATGTGGAGAGGAAAACAAAAAATCTTTTGAGCTGTGAAGGAAGAAACATTTTTTTTCTTATTCTTAAAGGCTTCAGTGAAGCTCTGGAGGTCACTGGGTGATGCCGAAAATATGCCAGTTTGCCTTGCAGCACTGAAATTCTGCTCTGTGCGTCTTTATAGTCTGTCGCCGCAACGTGACCTAAATTGGCATCACCAGCCTCAAAAACAAAAGATTCAGTATGTGATTGCAGGGCACCGATTTAAGGGCGAGCGGGGTTCAAAGTTTCATCAAGCAAATTTTGCAGCAATTTTCTGCTTTGTATCAATAAACTAGATGGAAATTCATACATTTGTTTCCTTTCTTAAAGCAGAGTATAATAAACGTGTGGTTTCTTTTACAAAATACACACAAACATGTTACTATCACACAGTTTCAGAGACGCTTTGAGGGAGCTGCGTGTTTTGTTGTGCTCAGAGAGGAAATGGGTGGATGGCTGAGCAGCAGGCTGATAACACAGATGGGAAATGTTTTCCCTGTTGCCTCTGCAACAACTAGTCCGGTCCGGCTGGAGCTCATGCCATCTATCGAGGCCTGTCTTTATTTTCAAAGATGCATCTGTGCGTAGCTCTCCTCACATTTTGTGACAGTGACTCATATTGCCTTTAACATCTTATCTTCTCAGGCCGAGACAAACGTTTGTCTCTGCTAACATCAGTTTGTCATTTACGGACCACAGCCGTCAGATTAAATCACTCCTGACATGTAGCTGCAATGACAACGTCTGTGATTCATGGAAAAGATATGAAACATCTTTCTGAATGAGCATTAAGCTCACGTGTGTTTGATCCTGAGGCTCTGTGTCACGGAAACATGAAGTCAGCAGTACATTTATGTCTAGAAGCAGCATTACGGTTTCAACTAGCGGTGGAAAAGCGGCATGTTTGACACGAATCACTGTGAGCTGTCAACCGAAGCCAACAAAAAGAGAACATCAGCAATATCAATTCAAACTCTAAGTCATGTGATCTTGATTTCACCTCCCTGTGAAGCTACTGTCTACACACCAGCTCACATTTTCAATAAGTATTTAAGTCTTTGGTTTTCATCCTCCTCTGTTGTTCCATTTTTCTTTTTTTTTTTTAAGTTTCTAAACGTTTCCAGGTATCAACGCCCCCCCGCAGCTGCTTTTACTCCAGCTCAGGGTTTATTCATCTTTCTAATAATTTACTCGCACTCTTGATGACTTTCTCATAGTTTAGAAGCATCGCGTCATATTATCAGACCTGTTGGCAGCTCCTCCACACCTCCCTGCACAGCCTCTCCACCTTCTTCAGCTTCATGATGGAGGTATAATGCACCGTCCACGGCCGCTGCTTTCTTTAGCACGGCCTTTGATCTTCCTCTCCTTCTGGTTTGTGCTGCCCCAAATTCAGCACGACAGGCTTGTAATCCACAGCACAGTTAAGCTCTTCCTTGTTCATCCACTTGAAAACAAACCCTCTGTCTCTTTCCCCCCCTCCCTCTTCAGGGTCTTTTTCAGTTCTGTCCTTTTTTCCCCTTTTCCTCACACAACACTCTCTTCTCTCTCCGTCGGTCTTTCGAGTCCATGCCTTTCTGTGCTTCTTCAGTCACATTTAGCTTCAAGAAGATTACACTCTGCCTCTTATCCTTTCCTAAAATCTGCTTTTCAAAGAGGTCCAGCCTTCTTCGCTTCTCTCTCTTCTTTTTTTCTGTCAATGAGAATTTTCCAAGTTCAGAACACAAGGGTAAGAAACCACACGCTTCTTCCCAACCCAATTAAGAGCTGCTGAATGGGCTCCTCAGATCTGGCTGTCAAAAAAGTCCCCCAAAAAATCCACACTGCATTTCCTTCTTTCACAGTTTGGCTATACGTTCAACATGCTCCTTATTTCTCTACTGCTCTGCCTCTTGTAACTGCACTCCTTTCTCCTTGGTCCTGGTCCTGTTCTGCTGCTTCAGCCTCTGAGCAAACAGCCTATATATTCCACAGCCCTGCTTCTTTCACTCAGCTGACTGTCAACCCTCCGAGTCGAACTGTGGGAAAACCCATTCCAGCTCACAACCTTCTTCCTCATTCCCGCTAAATGTAAAAGCTTCACTGTGATTACAATCTTCAAGTAACATTCGGGCTCAGAGGAAGGGCTTTGTTTATGAGAGGATGCACACAGACACACACGAGGGTGGAAACTGAGTTGACGAAAGTACTGCAGTACACACAAACCCACACATATACACGGACGAGATAGAAACACAAACACAGAGGGAGAAGAGTGGCGACCTCAATTTGCAGCTGAACTTATGGCTGGGCAGATGCCGGCATTTTCGCATTGTCATTACCAGAAATACTAGTTTAAAAATACACACACACAAGTTAAAATGAAAGGTGACAGCAAAGCAGATGAGCATGACAACAATGTGAAGAGATGAGTTTCAGAGTAAAGTGTTGCAACATCTCCAGAGGCTTGGTAATGAACTAATCATTTGATTCAGGTGTGTTGATCTAAAACCTGGAAGACACCGGCCCTCGAGGCCTGGAGTTCCCCACACCTGCTCCAATGGAAAAAGAAAGACAAGCAAACCTGTTTCTTTAAGCACCAGTTTCACTTTAGCCAATTAACGCCAATCATAAAAATGTAAATGCAGGACCGCATGCAGGAAAACTGAACAGAAAAAAATAATGTAAATATCAGTCTTTCCCTCATAATATAAAGCGTTTACTCTTTACAGTGCACTGTTATGTAAACTTGGAAAGCAATTATTCTGCTGCTCTTCTAAAAATAACATCACGAGTTTACGATATCTTCCAATTAATCAACAGGCGTGGCTGAGCGACGAGCACTGCAGCGGATTCGTTTTATGCAGCGCATCAAACTAGAAAGAATAAAACCAAAATAGCAGCGAGCTGTACGTACGCAAGCCGAAGGAACAAAAGGGAACAACGGCAGATAGATATATTTATGTACAAATATGAGCGCCTTTTTAACTGTGGCTGTGTGTTTGGATCCATCAGTGTCTGAAAGTCCTGGAAGATTTTTATATTTGGATACAGGTAACGTAGGAACACACCAACCCTAATTATGGGTGCATGTGTGCGCAGAGTGTAGCCTGTACCTGCCCTCCCAGCTGTTTCATAAGAGGCTGCAGTTCACTGAAGAGGTCATAACCTTGGTGGAAAAACGTCAGATGGGCGTACATGAAGGACAGCATCTATAAAAAAAACAACAACAATGTGTTTATTAAAACACTTAAGAGGAAGAAGGGTCTTTCCATCTCCATTCATCAAATTTAAACAGAAAAAAAACCCCAAGTGACCATCACAGGTTTGTCTTTCTACTGGAAAAAGCTCATTCTTAATAGGAAGCATGCAAAATTTCCCTACTGTAAAAGGTCCCTTAAAATCCTTTGTCTAAAAACACATCATTTTTTAACTCTCCCTTGGACACCAAGTAGGAGTAATCATGGTTTCTCTTTTCTGAACTGAGCAGTTTCTGTTTCAAGCCTGCTTCAAAACACAACGACTGGCTGCGATTTCTCTCTACAGCTTACCGGGGCTACCCTTGGAAAAGCCTGGACTCTATACTAATAGTCATCAAACACCAGCTTTATTGATATATCTCGAGGTGTTAAATCTCATCATTAAGAGTGCAGGAGAGGTCCTCAAATAATGGAGGGAAAGAGCTAAAGGAGGCATTTTAAATTTTCATTATCTAGAAAACTATCTGAGCTCAGTCCTTCGAAATCATTTAGGCCGAATATCTCATCTTATGGCTCTAAGAACTAAGGGCTATAATGAGTTAACACAGGAATATTTGGATGTATTTGTCTGATCTCTGACAGCAGATTAGGAGGCCTGAAAAAACCAAAAGTGTACAGTCAGGGGACTGAGAGTTTATTTAATGATAATGAAGCTTACACATTTTCATCTGTCTTGCTCCTTTCACTCAGAGCAGGTTTCTGTTAATATTACATGTAACATTTGGGATTTTGATGAGTCATTTTCCCAACTTGAATCTTCCTATTTGAATTTTTCCAGGCAAATCTGGTCATGTGGGAGGCAGTTGATGAACCGAGAGTGAACGACCCAGAACAGAAAGCTCATTTCATTTGAGAGAACGAGTAAACTTACTGATTTTAGGATCTCCGACCTTCTCTTGGACTGTAGCACGTTTATCTGAAAGTTCATAAAAACCAAAACAGTGAGAAGTAGGGATTATTATGAGAAAATATCTGGGACAATGCGGTATCTGACAGAAAAATGCAGAGAGAGAGTAAAAAGTGGAGTGGAGATGGGGGGGGAAAGACTTAAAGAGCGTGAGACTGAACAGAAAATGAGACGAGCTGGTGGAGATGAAACAAAAAGAAGTGCCTGAGAAAAATCAAAGAAAGCTGACAGGCGTGAAATGACTACTACTGAGGCTGGATAAAATCGCAGCGTTTCATTATACCAGCACCAGGGGGAGCCCTCTGCCTCATGTTTAGGGATGTGGGTTGAAGCCTGTCTCACTTTTCATCTTCGCCTCATCGCCTCCTGTCTGTCCGTCTCCTTCTGTGTGTGAATGTTTGTGAAGAAGGCTCTGCCATTCGTCCAGACTAATTACCGTCGTCCTCATCTGGCCTTGGATTTTCTCATAGCTTAATGCTGCAGAGCAGGGATGTGTTGTGGTGGATTGTAAAAACAGATGCTGATACTTGGCTGTTTCATGTTACTGTCAGTGAGTCTGCTGTGTGACAGCAGAGTCACTGACTGGGTGTGGTAACACATTTAGCTAGTGGGGAAGGAAGGCCAGCTTCAGAAGTAATCCCACACTTCGCTTCATACTTCTGAATTAACCTAAGTCCAGCGGCCCCTTTTTGTTTGTGTAGTGAAAACAGGGTCACCATGCTTCAATACCCCGGAGAATAAAAGTAAAGGAAATGTCTTTTATGGTCAGCAGTAATTTCATGGCTGCAGGTTTTAAGGCAATTTTCTCAAGCGACTCTAACCACACTTGTGTTTATACACAGATGTTAACTCCCATCCTGGGGAGGAAGCTTATTTTTTTCCATCCCCAAACCACAACAGTTGACGCATCGCGACTTTTACAAGCCCCCCTCCTTCTCGATTACAGTCAATTAGTAGCTTTGACCAAAGCAGCACCTCTAAACGATGGTTATTTAACTCTCAGTGTGCAATATAGTGTCAACACTACAGCCGCAAGCAAACTATCAGAGCAGTTATTTGGAAATTGGTTGGTAAAGCTGCAGCAATTGCAAACTTGTGGGAATGTAACATTCAATTTGTCACGTTTGGTTTGTCAAGTTTTTACGCACAAACAACTTTCACTTATCTCTAATAGTGGTGAAAACAATAGAAGTGGTAACATACGGGGGTGCGGGGTGGGTTACTGAGCGAGATGCTTTTCCATTTTTCCAGACTAGCAGCACACTTCGCCATCAGTGAGCCAGGAAATCCCTGAAGTTTAATATTTTATGCTGCAGCTCTACGTGGCACAACATAGTAAAAGAGACATGCTTCACTCTTAAACCGCCGTGAATGCGAGTCTGGCTTACAACCTCACTCATATATTTTCCTCTCCCGCTACCATCTTGCATGTCACTATAAACTGCGTACTGTATAATCAAGCACAAATGCCACAAAGATGAAAAAAATGAACTAAAAAGCACAAAAAATAAAATAAAATACAGTTAAAGTCTGTCTCAAATGTTTCCTGCAAGCACTGCTGCAGAAGTTAGTTTTTAAAGTGCTGACAGCACTGCCCAAATGTGAAACTTTAATGGAGACCCATTTAAAAATCAGCTGAGCTAGCTGCTAGCTTATAGATTTCCTATAAGCACACTAAAAAGCGAGATAAAAACCAGACTCGTTTCTCACAGCCAGGACTCTTTTTTTATGAGATGGTGATTATAGAGTGGGCCACTGGAGCAGACTGCCAAACCTATATTAAAACCTCCAGTTTGGTTTCAATTCACCATCTCATTTGCTCAAGGAGTGAAGGGTGCCCATACAGCATTGTCTGTTCTTTTGGGAGGGAGTTTCAATAACAGGGCCGCCAGCTGCCTTATCAGAAACCACAAAGCATTCATCAGCACTGCCGTGGCCGAGAGCAGAGCTGATGCATTCAACGGCACAAAAGCACTGAGTAAGGTTACAGCAGAAAATATCTAAGTGGCTTTGACAGAGAAAATGAGAAAGAAAACGAGCAAAAGGAGACGAACAACATTAATTCAAAAATGGATTTTGGAAACTGAAGAAACTTTTCCGACTAACCAGGTTATTAAACCTCTTTCTGAGTACTTTTTTTGTTCACTTTGGATAAAACAGAATCAAACACAGCATTCCTGTGCAAAAATAGCATTTTTTAATTAAATGCTGAATAATAAGTTCTCATCCAAATTCTGAACATGACAGCGTGCACCTCAGCTTTTTTTGAGATCCATACTTAAAAGCTGAATGTCAGCAATCTGTTGCTATATATAAATATAGTCTGACTGAAAACTGCCTCAGTTTCAAGTCAAAATCTCCCTGAAATAGCACCGCATTTCTTTTTTTAGATCATCCTACGTGTAAGCATAAAACCCTGTTACTGCTATTTAAAATGCACAGTAGGCCGCATGTCAGTGCAGCAAAACAAACTTGCATCCCTTGCTGTCATTCAACATCCAGCGGGCCGTACCTGTAAGACGTAGTCGAGGACAATGTGCCGGAAGCACTTGCGCGTGGCAGTGAGGATGTTGGTGGCCTCCTCCACCTCGTGCTGCTTGTTACGGGGAGCTTGGGCATTCTTGATCAGCGCCGTCTCCTTTTCCTCGCTCACTTTGTCAAATTGCTTCTTGGCTTCTTTGAACTTACGCAGGTCACTTCAAAGGAAGAGAGGTTTATTAGTATAAACATGACAGCAGATCCTGGGTTTTTCTGCGTCTCTCAGGGCACTCCGGCTTCCTCCCACGGTCCAAAGTGAAGCAAAGCTTTGGGTAAACTGGTGAATCTAAAGTGACCATAGAAGTGAATGTGAGGTTATAGCCTGAACTGTATGAGCATAAAGCCAAAGGAGCTCAACATTTAGTGTCAGAACTCAAGAGACACGACAGCTAATGTCACATTTTAGACTATTTAACATGAGAAAGACGAAAGCTTGCACTGAAAGACTGAATTCTTACCCTAATTTAGGACAAACTTTAATGAGTTTCCACAAAGAGTGGGACTTCAATAATCTAAGGTCCATAGTTACAGGAATCTCTGAATATGAATGAGCACGAGAACGGTCAGGCAACAGGAACATGTCAATTTAAAACAAAGGCAAACTCCTTGACCTGCTTCTTGTTAACCACATGCCCCACACTTATCATTTGCAGCCATTTTCCTGAGTGAGATTAAGTCACATTTGAGCACCACAAGATACTGAGTAAAGTATAAGTGCTGCTGATGTGGGTGTTTAGTCCTGATGTGCCAGAGGCAAAAACTGCTAATCCTTATAATGAAATAAACCAGAGAAGCAACTCCTTCCTGTAATTATACAAGCTGCCCAAATTTCTGAGCTAAATTAGGAGAACTGAGGAGGATGTTATGAAGCCTACATAGAAATAAAAATATTCTCTTATGCAATTTAATGACAATGCTGTCCGCATCATCCTGTAGTGTATTTACTCCTGAATATTTTGTGTTTGAAGCTGTGAAAGGTAAGTTAACCAGTTTTTACTGTGGTTAATTAATACTCACTCTTTGACAAAGGTTTGAAGCTGCGTCTTGATTGATCTCTGGGCCTGATCGAACAATATCTGTGAAACAAAAACAGACAGAAAGACTAAGAAAGACTGAGTGACTGCTTCTTCCCATTTGAAGAAAAGGTTTCTCTCTAAACATGTCGAGGAACTTAAGAAACAAAAACCTGACAATTTTATTCTCTTTCTAAGCCCCCGTGTGATTTCTAAGTTAGTTTTCAGCATCTGCTTAGGAGGACGTTTGTTAACATCACAGGGTGCAATTAAGCAGCTAAATTTACTCAAACGCGCTGACTTTGTAAACTCCCCTCATAAAGACACAAACACGAGAAATGACGTGACTCGTTTATTCTCGCTCATGAGTCATACCCTCATTAACCTGCATCCTTCCTTAAAAATGAGCTGAACCAAGCAAAAAAAAAAAAAAAGCCAGACGAATACATTAAATAAGGCTTCGGCGCATATCTGTAGTCAAAAACAGACAATATGAGCAGTGTGATGTGGAGAGGCCTTCACTGACAAACAGATTGAGCACTGTGAGGAGATCACGTGCTGAAAGATCGCTGAGCAGCAAAATCCTATCTGACAATCAGCTGATGTGACCGCAGTCTCCGCCAATGAGTAACAGTCTCAGGCTGTTAGGGAACAAGGCAGCTAAGTTAATATCTCTACTAACTAGTACTAAACATCCTGGAATTGCCGTCTGACCTAAACATAGAACTAAAACTGTGCAGAAGCCAGTTTAACCAAACCTGAAAGGCAACAAACATCTCACTGAGGTGACAACATCTACATTAGATGTAAAGCCTTTAGAAACTATGTAACCATGTTACTTCTATTCAACTGTAAATTTTGTATTTCAACTAGCAGTAACGATCACAGTGCAACGCTAACGCCTGGAGGCTCAATCAGGACATGTTAGGCAGAGGTAGTGGAGATAATTCCTGACAAGGGGAATCTCTAAATTCACTGTAGAGAAAGTCCTAATGAGAAGCCCAACAGAGGAAAGTTTCAAGCGCCACCTTAATGCCGACCAGAGACTGACAAGTAGGGAGTTTAAGAAGGAAAGGAATAATCACATAATTAGATCTCTCCTACTGGGCTCCTTGAAGAGTGGGGAAAAGGCATCATGTTGGCTTATTTTAAATGATCTAGCATGCAACACATCTGTTATGGTCAACATTATACTAAAGCTCTTCACCTGTCTGCGGGATGAACTAAACACACAAACACTTTACACCAGTTATGGATGATTTATTCCAACAGATGGATTTCAACCCACACACACAACCAGATCTGCTTATGACATCATGGACAGTTTTACTCCAGGAATTATTTTTATTTTGTAACAAAAGACAAGAAATCCCGAAGCGTTTGTGACTAATGATGGCTGACAATGAATAAAAAAGGAATTTATTGCAGCTGACCCAAGGAGCTTTTTTTAAAACCACTGTTTACAATAGGCATTGTTTCCTGTGTGTTTTTAGCAACACCCTGCTTCACATATTTTACAGCAATATGAAATCTTCCCCCAGGAAGATGCTTATTATAGCCACTTTCTTCACATTCAGCCACCATAGTTCAGTTCTGTGCTAAGCTTTTAAAACATGTTCACTGGACATTTTCTGCTTCTCTTTCTCAGCACAAGGATTTTTTTTTTTTTAAACGATCTGGATTTTATAGTCACTTGGGGGAAAAAAACATGCATCTGGTTTTGGTCAGCGTACCGTGTGATAGTTGATCATCTCCTGCAGACTCTCGGCAAACTTTGTGAGACTGGACTGTGAAGAGAAGGAAGAGGACAGCCATGAAGGCAGGCAAAGAGACAAAGCAAGAATAAAACACAAAACAGCACAAGGTCAAATATAATTAAAACCAGTGGTTCAAAATGCCTGCTAAGCCACAGCTGCAGGGACAAATGCTCCTCAGGTATGAGAGAAAGGAAACCCTGGTGTTTTTGAAGCAACAATAGCACTTTGGGAAAGAATTCTTTTGGCTAAGTTACACTTTTCAGATACACGCAGTGGCTCAGCTTCAAACCTAAAGGGAGAGGCGGTGAACAAAATACACAAAGGCAGCCAGGAAGTGCTTGCCTCGGCATGCAAAATTTATAAGAGAGAACAAAACAAAACATCTGACCTCTGCGAGACCCAGTGGACAGTGCGAGGTTCTGCTAGCCCTCAGTTTTCAAACTTGGATAAATCTCACCATGGATGCAGAGTGAAGCCCATTTAGAGTGATCAAACAAAGAGCTAAAGGCTTCTTCACATCTGGGGACTCTCATGAAGTCAGTAATGCTTTTACACCATCTGTGATGTTTATTTTACTGAGATGTAGAGTTTTCAAAGTTTTACTGGATATTACAGGAGGACTGTCACAACACAAGCTGGAGAAGAAGCAAAAAAATACTTCAAAGCATTTTGTGCAGATAAGATCGAGCAAAATTATATTTTTGTTTACCTCAATGACCTCATCTTTGGTGGACTGCTGTGCAAGCTCCCGGATCCCATTAACAAACTGTTTGTTAGCTGCGTTGTAGGCTTTTCCAGCATCAATCATCCCGATACACAATTTCACCAACTAGAAAGGAAAGCGGCAGACGTCAGTGTTCGAGGGGGTAACGGAGAAATGAAGAAATGCATTAACAATAGAAACACTTCAGTGAACACAAACTAGGAACAGTGCTAGAGATTTCTTCAGGGCATTGTCTCTTATTAATAACAGTGGAGCTCTGCTGCTGAAAATAGATTTGGGATTTTTTGTGGAAACTGGAAACGCAGAGAAAAGGACTAAAATATAAGATACTCAGTGCTTACTCAGTTTATTGGTAATTAACAACAGCCACTTCTTTCCCTTCTGACTCATTGAGGGCAAAGATAATTCCAGGTTATGTAAACTCCCAACAAATTCTGGCCACTCTCCATCTACTCCCACACAGCTGATGACACAGAGGCTGAATGTGCATCTACAGCCAAAGCAGCTACATGACACGCTAAGAAAATGCCAATTTTAAGCAGCTTCCTTCAACAATTACTAAATGTTAATGAACACCTAAAAGCTGATCAAACACAGACTGACCCTGCTTCACGACTAATTATGAGTGAAATTTGAGTCGGAAAGAGAATAAGCAATGCTGTCACTCAAAATGAAGCATTCATTTCGCTTAATATTTAACCTCCTAAGACCCGAACTCTTTCACAGCAGCATTTTTAATTTCTCTTTGATATTTGGGCTGATTGGGACACGATGAATGTAAAAACAAAGAATTACCAGATTTTTTTTTTACCTGATTTTTGTTTCTAAGAAAAATGAGAGCCACATATGAGGATATTAGTTTAAAATTTTGATAGAACGGTAGCAGTATAATGTCCTCGTACGTGGATATCAGGCTCTTGTAGAGCAAAATTGAGTATTTTGGCCTAAATAACCCAAAATGTGACGTCCACATATGTGGACGCCAGGTCCTGGGAGGTTAAAAAAAATGCTCTTTTCCCCCAATCATATAACCGTCTCAGCAGTGAGGATACAAAAGAAAAAGACAGGCTCAAAGTGGAAAAAAGTGAAAGTGCTACAAAACATTAGAAGCACAAGACAAGTGGGTCAACACCTTACTCTCACACACATTTACACACATTTCCAGCATGCACACGTGTCATTTCCTTCGCATTTGAACAAAACACTTATCTTTAAATATGATTACACTACAGCTGCCTCAGCCCTGCTGCATGTTGTTAGGGTGTTTTCACACTTGTGGTGTTTAGTCTGCTTAAATCCATTGTGCAGATGTTAATTTGCGCAGATGTAAACGAGGTAACCGCACACCGAGACCCTTTGGAGGAGGTGGTCTCACTCTGGTTTAAAACAAACTTCGAAGCAGTTCAGTAGTTCAAGGTTTGCATTTTGGGATGCTCCACGTTCTCCAATAATCCAAGTTTTTAAAGTCACCAACTGATTGTTCTAGAGAAAGCAAACTAGACGTGTAAAAAACACCCATAGATCTAGAGATGTATTCGCTTTCTGTTGTTGCTCTGTAAATAATTTCTTGTAGCACTTCAGGAATGCTTCAGGTAGACATGCTTTTTCATTGTTCTCTTGGTTCATTTCCAGAACATAAAAAGAGACTTAACACTGATGAGGGAAGCAACAGTTTCACAGAAACAGAACCACAGTGACACCATTCAGAAGACATCAGTATGTGAAAGGTTTCTACTCCATTGTTTGGAAACAGGATGTATGAGAGCAGATGTAATGTGGACACTGTCTCTGTTGATTTACTTCTGATCCAACATGGCTGTGCACGTTATGGTCACACAGGTAAGCAAGCTTGAAGGAAAAGCTGAACTCTGGTATCTGAAGACAACTTCACTCCACCCAAGTCAACACATACACACTCAGACACACACACACTATCACAGCCATACTCACGCAAACACACCCACTCTCTGGCAGATCCTTCCTCTCCACAGCAAGAGGGGAAGTGAGGCTGAGTCACGGAGGTGGAGTGAGGAGGAGGGTGTAAGAGTAACGCTGTAAGACTAAGTCGAGGAATAAAGAACTGGATTCTTCTACGGTCTCACTCTAAGCAAGAGAACAATTCTGGGGGGCTCTGTGGCATCAAGACGGTACAACCGTTGATAAACATGACTCTGTTTGGTTGGTTTAATGTCAGTTACACAGGAAAAAACCCAAAAGGCACGAATTGATTGTTGGGGGGAAAAAGAAAAATCTGCACGAAAGCTGGGAAAAGTACCAAAGGCACTCTTCAGGACTCAGGACTATAAATAACACTCCCAAAATATCTCTGCACACAGAAAGTTATTGAGCCAATTATTTTTTAATTTTAATAAGTAATCAAGTGTGAAACAATTCTGTAGCTTTAATATGGATTTCATCAAGTGCTTAACAGTCTGTACTAGGGTTGGGCGACATGTAAAAATTTTACGTTAACGCGTTAACACTGACAGCACATAAATATATATATAAAGTCGCCAATTTGGGATGAAAGAGGTCAATTTAAGGATGTAACCAAAGCGGTGTCCCGCTTGTGCAGACCTACAGTGCGAGCAAACTACTCAAACACAGCTAATTTGCATGAGCATGCATGTGACCACCATCCGGCTGAGTATGCTAGGCTATCACCAGCTTCTGCAGCTCCATCAACAAGCATTTGGGCGCTCTCTGAGGAGGGTGCTGTTAAAACAGCGCTATAATTTTTTTTTTCCTTTCTGTTGACTGGTTCTATTAGCTCCATCTTTATTAGCAAACTTACTCATGGACGAATAATTAAATTGCCCCTTGTAAAAATGATGGCCGATGGGCTCAGCCTATCATTGATAGTCGATATATTCGTCCAGTCGTCCAACCCAAGTCTGTACCACTAAATACGACTGTAAATACCATACTACGCATGAGTATTTCGTATTAAAAATAAGCAAAACAATAAAAAGCTTTGATAAAAGAATAAATATGCTGAATGGTGAGTAAATGCTGAGCCAGGCGGTAGAGTGGGTCGTCTACCAATCAACGGGCTATCCTCGGGCAAGATACTGGACGGAGTTGCAGCGATGCATGCATCAGTGTGAGTGTGTAAATAACCCTGATTTTGTTTGTATACTACTTTGCATTACTTCATCCAGACCTATTACAAAAACTGGAAACTCTACTTAAAACATTAACCTCGTCTTTCATCATGAATTCATTTGGCCCCTCCATGAAATCCATTTTTCAAATCCCTAATAATAGGCACACATCCCTTTTCATGATTTTACAAACGTATGATTTTGATCAACAAAATGTCACAGTTACAATAAAAGACTTGGCATATAGATAGATATTTAATCTGGTCCAAGTAAACCATCACATTGCTGGAAGGGTAACGAGTGCGTTTGCTCGTCTGCTTTCATTCAGTCTTGCTCGAAATGCCAAGGAATACAGCGAGGACAAGTCCGAGGACAAACCTGACCTGTTACAGGATGGCTTATGTTGCTGCTGGCTCACACGGTGGAGAAAACGAACAATTAAACAATGTTTTTCATGGGCGGTACTCACTTTGTCAAGCTTGGATTCCAACTCGCACACATCCCCCTCCACTTCCTCTATGGTGGCTCTGTGAGGACAGAAAATGTAAAGGTTTGAAGTGAAGCGCAACCATGACTCAATACTTCATTGACATTCGGATGCATGAACTGTGAAACAGAGAAAGAAGGTGTACTCGGAGGCATTCTGCTGGAAAGCATGCATACCCTTCATCTTCATCCCATTATCACGGTTCTCCTTATAACCCTCCTGTGTCTGCAGAGCAGTTAGGTTAATCTCTGTTCCGCATTATGGCACTTATGTTGATCATAAGTAAAAAGGAAGCAATATACTGCATGCCAATATAAGCAACATAATTTATAGCCACACAGCTTCATCTTTGTCACGTATGCAACTGAAACTGGGTCAAATATTTGTCTTTTATTTCAACATCTTGATCATTTTCAGACAGAGAAGAAGAACTTAATTTAATTATAGCAGTCCGGTTCCCCCAACATTCCCATATTCCACAATTATAGTTTCTGAAAGCGGCAGCTGCAGTAAATGACAATATCCTCCCGTTCGAGCACGTGAGACACACAGACAGACGTCTAGAAGCAGACAAACTGAGAGCTGCCATTTTGGGCCTGAAATCAGGTCTGGCATCCTGCCCTCTAAAATGTGACAGAGACACAGCTCGCCTCTCCACAAGATCGACAGCCTACGAGCTTCAGGATACCACAACAGAGGGAGAAGAATATCAAATATGTCATCCCAGCAAAGGATCTGTGGATTAATCTCCCCTTGATGTTAATTATCGCATTACTAAGGCTTTTTTAATGCAGGATAGACAGAGAGTATTTTTTCTAAAACTGCATTTATTTATGCTTAATCTGGAGTAAAGAAATAATAAGAAATAACATGGCAAATGCCAACACTTGATAATGATATATGGATTTATTAGACATAGATGTATCTGCAGAAAAGCAACAAGGTCTTTAAGGTGCATCTAAAACATACAACACAACAGCGCCTTTAGCATTAAAACACCAATTTAAGGAGTGCACTGCAACGATATAAGCCCACATATCCTAGAAAAACACATTTAAAACAGGAGAAAAGCTGAAATGATGGTGCTAGTGGTGGCACATTATGAAAACTTAATGAATGCGCTGCTGTTAAGTCATGTATCATTAGTTATGCAGTGCAGCTCAGATGTGGCCTTTAGATAACGCATGCTTCACATTTATAACCATTTAGCAGCAGTAATCAACACTGAGGCAAGTTTATTCTTAAGACAATAGCAGCATTAAAACTGTTTACATCTACTAATACAACAGTATCTGTTTCTTATCACGGCGATTCTCTCGATTTCAGGCCTATCAGCCAATCGCCCTTAGCATAAACTCACTGAAGATAAGAACAACAGTTTTACATTTCAAATACAATTTATTCTACTGAAGGAAAAAATGTGTCCAACATCATGCAGTGCAGTGCATGAGTGCCATGTGTCAGTGTAAAGCAGAGGGATTAAGAACGTCACCCTGCAGTAGCAGCGGACGGCTTTCTCCAAACCCCCTGTAGCTGTTTGTTCTCCCATATGGCATCAAACTAAGTCGTGGACATCTGGTCAGTGCCGGGGATCCCTCAACAGGAGAGGCTTGGATGTATGCGCATACTGAACAGCAGATACTGTGAAGTGCAACTGTATGACTTAATTTTATTGTTATTTACATGTCCTCGTCTTTCTTCTGTATGTGAAAGGGATTTTGTTGTTGTTGTTTTTTAATGCAGGATGCACGGATGCAGCAGTCACAATCGTTAAAACTATAAACTAGAATTAGCTTGAGTTGCTGGCTATGCTACAAGGCGCATAGGATAAACCTGGTGGTAAGGCTAATCTGAATATCATGCATGAACAGCAAATCCATCACTCAGTAAGTTCAACTGTGGGAATGCCAAAATCAAACTGCTGAGCTTTCAGAAACTGATATATGCCTTATTCAGCTAAATGCTTGAAGAACCTGCCACATAGAGAAGTCCTTTGCTTTGCAACATGTACTTTATTGCGCAAGTACTATGATTAATACATGTTAACATAAATTACATTAGCTGAATAGATCTTTTTTTGTCTTCTGTGCTTCATAATAAGTATAGGAGGAAGGCTTTTGACTTGAAGACAGCAAAGTGCTTCTTTTTATGAGTCTTAAATAGCAGTCCAAGTAAAGTCTGTGAACTGAGGTCTTAAGTAGTCCAACAGGGCAGAAACAGGGTCAAAGGCAATAGATGACTGTGCCTCTCTCACACAGATATTAACCGTGGTCAAAAGAACATGCTACAAGCCCCGTTTGTCTTTCTCCGCTGCCACGGGCAAAGGACATTTCTCCAGTGATTCACACAGAATCACCACTGCTCTGCCGACCGTGTCGAGCGTCCGACTTCAGGAGGATTTGACTTTTGCTTGGTGATGTAGTTAGTGATGTAGTTAGTAGCAAGTGTTTGTTGGAGTACAAACACTTGCCAACACTAAAAACAGAGGGAAGGAAGAGTTAGTTAAAACATGTTTAAGGAAAGCTTTAGTTGTACACTTTACAAAAAAGTGAATTGAATTATTACAATAAAATTATCCAATAACAGACTGTGTTTGTCAGTCAGTCAAATTACTATCTGATTATGTGTTATCTAACATCTTGTCAGGCCAGTTCTTACTTGATAAAAGTCACTTGATCTCTCTGCCCAGGGGCTAACAACAACATTTAGTATCCAGGTCACAAGTATGAACTATAATAAACATCACTGAAATGAAAGAAGACTGGAAAACTCAGATACAATCTCAGGAACAGACCTAGAAACAATTGTTTTAATTGTCAGTCAGTCAGTCACTGTCATGCTTTCCAAGTAACCGCAAGAAGAAGACCATTTCCTTCTAATCTGAAAAGCTGAGCCTGCAAGCTAAACTTGCAAAAGTGCTGACAGGATAAGAAAAGGAGGGGCTTTGGCAAAACGAACATTTGGGCTATTGCCTCATAGCTCTGAACTTGGAGCATATCCAGGCTGAAACTGGATAATGAGCAAAAGAGGAGAAAGCAGAGGAAAGAAGAGCCACAAAGCTTTGGAAACACCAAGATCGACACTGAAGAGTCATAAAATGTGGTCCCTACTAGACTAAAGTCACCAAAATAGACAAAGAAAACTCTCTCTAAAAGATACCTGAATGCAGGTATTTAAATTAATGAGCAAACTCTAAGTGTGGGTTGTACAAGTGCTGCTCTACATAAACAAAGTGATACAAAATCCACTAAGTGACAAAGCCCTCTTTTCTGTAGTCTGTAGTCAGGACAGTGTGAACCACGGTTTTATCACAGCCTCATAAGACTCCTTTCAATAGAGTTGTCACCAGGTTAGTTTCATGAATTCTAATGAGTGGGGTGACAGTCAAATTTCACACTGCTTTACATCATAAATCAGCAGGAAACAGGGAAAAAAAAATGTCAAAACAGGTCATCTGGGGAAAAAAGGCCAACAACAAAAACAAAACATCATCCTAATTATGAAGCACAGTGGTGGGATCATCATCATGGGGCTACTTTGAAATCTCTCAGAGAACCAACTGGTTTTAAAGTGTATCAAAAACAATGTTTATAGGTGAACGTCAGAACAGAAGTTCATGGCCCGAAGCTGAGGAGAGGTTAGATGGCTCAATAAGATTATGTGCTTATCAAACAAATCAACAACAGAAATATTGAAAAATCAAGTAAAATTCAGAACCAGCCCTTAAACCAAGAAATATTGGGGCATGACTTGAAAAGGGCAACACTAATGAACTGAAGCAGCAGAAGTTGAAAAGCAGTAACATGAAAGGCAGCATTTTCAGCTGGTTTGGATATACTGACTGCTGACAACTCTGTTTCCACTCCTGGAGTGAGCCAAGCTGAACAGCTGGTTCTAGCAAATGAGACTGAAAGTATACTTGTTGCAGGGGAGTCTGAATACATTTACAGGAGAAAGAAATCCATTTGAAATGTGCTTTGTAGATAGTTGTTTTCTTCTTTTTCTTAAAAACAATATACATTTATATACATATATATACACATGGTATCATTCACCTGGAACCTGCTAAACTAAAGGTGGCATTGTGTGGCCTTCACTCTAGATTAAGTGTACAAAGAGCAAGTAGATATGACAGTCATGAGAAATGCCACATATGCACAAAGTTAACTACACTGGATTTATTATTCTGATCCATTTGATCAGACAAAGTTAAGATATCTATATGGCTTACTTTTATCTGTCATTCTTCTTAAACCCTGTTTATTATAGCTCTTTCTATATTGACTTGTTTCTCTCTTACGTATTTTGGTAAAATGCTTTGTTGCTTGAGACCATGTCTGCGCAGTCTGGTTTCAAGCATTTTACGTTTTATCCTGATTGTTGACTTAAAACTGTTAAATTAGCATCTGAGCAGGTGACACACTGACATTCTTCTTCAGCACTTGATATGGATAAGAAAATACAAAAAACCAAAAGCAAAAAGAAAACAAAAATCTCACGCTGTCTTTCACAAGTATGAAAACATGGCAAGTAAGAAGTATATACGGTACAAGTTGTTTAAGTGTTTGTATTTATTTTTCCTGGTATTCTGAGACAGAAGATACTGCACAAATATGACGACCTGGGTTTTAAGCAGCTGACTTTTGGGTGTAAAAGACTATCCGAGAAGAGATTTAAATCATCGTACATCAAACAACTACAAGGATAATTACATAATAATAATAACAACATATCTCGTGTTTATTCACAGCACTCATTTTTAAATGTCATAGGGATGATATTTGAACAATTTGTCCCATTTAGGATGCATTACCATGGACTGGTGAGAAAAAAAGGGGGTTGGTGTTTATGAGCTTTATACCAACTCTTTGCTGATGTTTTTTTCCATATCTACTCAGGAAGTTGGAACACCTTGAAAAGTAAAATGTACAGTTTGTAATTGGGCAGACCAATAGTACAATTTCAAATTTGGGAACTGCAGCCCTCCTCTGTCATAGGGTAGATATCTGAGTTTTTTTCTGGGCTTTGTATTGTTCCAAA